CACTGTCACGGTCACACTGTGTCAATGTCACAGTCACACTGGCATTGTCACTGTCACAGTCACACTGTCACGGTCACAGCCACTGTCACAGTCACACTGTCAATGTCACGGTCACACTGGCATGGTCACGGTCACACTGTCACGGTCACAGCCACTGTCACAGTCACACTGTCAATGTCACAGTCACACGGTCACGGTCACACTGTCACGGTCACAGCCACTGTCATAGTCACACTGTCAATGTCATGGTCACACTGGCATTGTCACGGTCACTGTCACGGTCACACTGTCACGGTCACACTGTCAATGTCACGGTCACACTGTCACGGTCACTGTCACGGTCACACTGTCATGGTCACGCTGTGTCAATGTCACAGTCACACTGTCACGGTCACTGTCACGGTCACACTGTCATGGTCACGCTGTGTCAATGTCACAGTCACACTGTCACGGTCACTGTCAAGGTCACACTGTCACGGTCACGCTGTGTCAATGTCACAGTCACACTGTCAAGGTCACACTGTCACTGTCACTGTCACACTGTCAAGGTCACACTGTGTCTCAGTCACATTGTCACTGGCACAGCCACACTGTATCATTGTTGACATTTCCTTGGTGGTACCCACCAAATGGGGTAGCTGGCTCAGTATTGCATGAGATGCGGTTGGGTCACGGGGCGAGCTGGGCGGCAGGTGATGGGGCAGCGAAATGGGGATTGGGGTAGTTACATGGGAGCAAGAACAGATGGGACCTGGTGGGGATCTGGGATAGGGTTTGGTGGGGGCATGGTCAGAGGGGCCTGTTGGTGTCTGGGTGTCTGCACCTTTCCTAAGAACTCAGTGAACCGGCTAAGGTCAGTGCTGGGTGGGCACCGGGCAGGCATCAGGGTGGCGAGCCTCATAGGCAAGGGGTCCTTTCACGGCTGAGTGTCCATTCTTGGAGCCCATTGGGTGCACATCACTCCTGTGAGCTCAGCATCTAACGTAGAAGTGCCACCTGTCCCTGCTTTCACCTGACCTCTGGGGGTGCCCATGGCCCC